ATGTAATGTAGCCAGGTGGTTGGAGGGGAAGGGCTGAAAGAGTAGAAGTAATTGGTGACATCAGCAGAAAAGGAATGTCGTTTGATAATTACTGCGTTAGACTAAACTGGGAAGGGTCGTAGCTCTTACATATTGTTGTCCTATTGTTAGTTTAACTGCTTCTATTGCTCTCCTCATTTGCAAGTCGCTTTGGATTAAAGCGTCTGCTAAATGATTAAATATAAATGTAATGTAAATGAGAGCCGGAGCAAGTTTTATTCAGAATAATGTGCTCAGATGAATTATGCACAATATCAACGGACTGAGTACAAAAATGTATTTGTTTCCCCGGAAACGCAAGCTCATGCGAAAAGTTTTGCATTTCGCTGTGTTCCAAAGTTCAAGTTTGGTGAACTCTGACCTGTGAATTCGAATCACATGAAGACGTGTGACCAGTAGAAGATCGGTACGTCATGGTGGGACCTCTTGGCTGAGAGAAAGAACTATATTTTTGCAGTAAAGTCAAGTAGATTGTATATTGTTACATTTTGAATGTATTACTATATGTTATATGTTGAATTCATGTTTATAAAAACGATGCTGCAGAGTATGACATCATTTCACGACCGTTGCAGTGTGACCATAGCTTAAGACTTTCATGGGGGCACTTTTCTAATGGGGGCACTTTTCTAATGGGGACACTTTTCTAATGGGGGCAAGTTGTGGCAAGTTGTGGCCTAATGGTTAGAGAGTCAGACTGGTAACCCAAAGGTTGCGGGTTCGATTCTCAATACCGGCAGGAAATGACTGATGTGCCCTTGAGCAAGGCACCTAACCTAAACGTGTGTGTTCACTACTCACAACTCCTAATGAGTGTGCACTAACATGGATGGATTAAATGCAAAGGACAAATTGCAAATATTGGTTACCATACTCAGCCTTCACATGTCGCTTTAAAAAACAAACAAATGAAGATACTTTTAATTAAACCTGAGAGATTTCTGTCCCTCCATTGTAAGTCCATAACATCAAAACTCTCTCTTCAAAAAGTTGGTAAAATAATTGTATGAAAAATATAATCCATATGAATCAAGCAGACATAATCCAAGACTTTAATTCAAGAGACACATTAACTTTATATGATTAACAGATTTAATTTAGGTTTTTACTCACATACTGTATAAACACCGATCAACGGACATACTACATCAAGCACATCATTCAGCAGCTCAAACGTGCAAGAACCAATGAGGTGTGGGACGCAAGCATTTTGGAGCTACCGTAAGAACCAATAAGGTTTATTCTCGCTCATCAAGCAAGTACAATTGAGCTTCTGTTGACCATATTTGATGTGCTCTATGTATGTGCGTTGCCGTTGATCAATGTTTATATTACATCTGTTCATCATAAAGTCATTGTGTCTTTTCAGAAGACTTGGATTAATACATTTGAATCATATGGATTACATTTAAGTCTTTATGAACTTTTTGAAGCATCAAAGTTTAGATGGAATGGACTTTCTCAAGTCTTTTAGGTTTCATTAAAAACATCTTCATTTGTGCTTTGAACATTAATGAAAGTCTGATTGGTTTGGAATGAAATGAGGGTGTGTACTGATTATAGAATTTTCTGGGTGATCTACAGTAGCCTATTGCTTTAAGAAAGTAAGTAGAGTAGGTTGTGATTTCATGTCGACTTTAAATACAATCAGAAACAAAAATCCACCTCTTAATATCTCACTATAGAGAAATTATTACGTCAAGATGTTCTAGGTGTCCTTTGGTTTCACTTCCACTAATACAGCTATGATAAACACTTACTATCCATGTGATCGATGTGCATGGCGGTCAGCAGGGCCCATTCATAGTAGATCTTCCCATTCTCATGTTTTCCCTGGGAAATAAAGTGTCTCCCTGACTCAAGAAGCACTGAAATAAAACTGAGTTCATGCCCTTCATCCTCAAGCTCAGAGAACAGCTCCACTGACTGAGTGAGGTATTCTCCTGCCAATCTTTTTGCCTTGATTTGCAAACACATGAATCCACAGTTGGCCAACGCTATGGCCCAGTTATGTCTGTCCTCAAACTCCTCGCATATCTCGATTGCAGCCCGGTAACTCTCAGCTGCCTGTCGGATGTCCGCTGAATGTCTGTATGAAATGGCCCGCATGTTGTAAACCACACCTTCCAGTTGTGTTGTGCAGTGCTCCGGGAGTGATGACAGGACAGCATCCAGCACTTCCAGAGCAGTGCCGGGTTGCTGGTTGCAGATGTACAGCCACGCCATCCAAATGAGAGCAGCAGTAGTGTCTGACTGGCCAACGCTGGACATGCTTCTGTGGTCGAGGACGGTTAGCATGTAGCGAACAGCTCTCTCGGGCATGCTGTGTCTATGGAAGAGCCAGGACAAACACAGAGCGTGGACATGACCCAGCGCAGGCTCCTGGCCGGGGGACACTAAAGCAACGGCACGGGTCAGGTATGGAGCCACTTGTGTTGGGATGTCCACTCCATACAGCTCTGATGCGTTTTCCATCAACAGAGAGACACCACAAAGACAGTGTGAAGCGGTGGCTCCTACCTGTGAAAGAGAATGGATAAATGCACAAATCAATTTATTTAATTTGATTAATTGATTAAATTTTTGTATTCATTCATTTTTAGTCCATTTATTTTAATACACTTTTTGTTGTATTAATTAATTGACTATTTTTTTTTTATTCAATTTTAATTTACACTGTGAAATAGTGCCTTCTACCTGTGAGAGAGAATGAATTAATGCACAAATCAATGAATTTTATTATTAATTTATTATTTACTTAATAAAAACCCAAATATATTCATTTACAAATTAAATGTTAATTTATTAAATAAACTTTAATAATTGAATTAATCAACATTTGTTTAAATTTTTTTTTTTAAATGTATTTTTATTCATTTTTAAATTTAAATAAAATTTGACACAATGGCTCCTACCTGTGATCGAATAAATGCACAAATTAATGATTTATTTACTTTTTTATCTAAATTCATTTTTCAATTTATTAAACTTATTTAATTGTATTAATTAGCTTTGGATTTAATTGAATTGAATTCAATTATATATATATATATATATATATATTAAATGTTGTATATATATATATATATATATATATATATATATATATATATATCACACACACACACACACACACACACACACACACATTTCATTTAATTAATTTAAATATATATATTTAATAAATATATATATACACATTCAATAATATATATTTAGAGTTCTCTCTGAAAACACTATCAAGGCCTAGCACTGACCTGAAGTGATGCTCGCCGTGCGCAGCTTTCAGCCAAACGTGGCAGACTCTGTTCGCTGTAGAGTCGTGCTAACACCAGGAAAACATGGCTCACTGTCTCATCACATGCTTCAGGAACCTCGTCAGCAAGGATCAAAAGCCTTTCGATGAACGGAATTGCACTCATGCTGTCTTTAAGCTTCAGGTGGAGCTTTGCCAGGATGAAGCAGGCTCGGGCCTCGGCAGGCTGATTCTTGGCCAGGATGGCCTTTTTTAGTACATACTTCAATACCTCAGGGTCCTCACAGCCAAACAAACAATCAGGGACAGCCATCAACAAAGCAGACAAGCGCTCTGACGAAGTGAAAAATTTGTCATGGTTCTTCTGTGTTAGGTAGATGAGTGCCAGGTTGGAGTAAATGGCGGAAAGCAGAAACATGTCTGTGAAACAATCCCTGGGTACATTCAAGGCTTCCTCATAATAAACCCGAGCTTGAGAGAACTTTGACCTCCCTGCACAAAGCTGTCCGAGAAGAAAACAGATTCGGCTCTGCGCCCACGAGACGTACTTCTTTCGTGCCAATTCTCGGGCTACACCTAAATACGCCACTATATCCTCCTCATCAGAGTGACCCTCAAAATGTGAGATGAGGAATTCTGGGTAAGCGCTGTACAGGAGCATGAACTCAGGCTGGTAGTCACGACTGCTCAAGAATGAGAGGAGAGCATGATGTCCATCTGGACTGGTGCTGTCCTGCTCAGAGCTGACAGAAAAACGGGGGGTTTCGTGGGATTCCTCTGTATCATTAGTTTCTATCTCTATCTGGTGATTGATGCTGACTGATGAATCGTCCTTTCTTTGAGTCTCGACCTCACTCAAAATGTGGTTGACTTTCTGTTTTAGATTGTTCACTTCTTGAGTCTTGTCTGAAGACAAATAATAAAATAATAAATATATTAAATAAAATTAAACAAACAGATCCCTATTTTATTTAGCCCATATTTAAGGGATAGTTCACCCAAAACTGAAAATGTTGCCATTTACTCACCCTCAAGTTGTTCCAAACCTGTATGAGTTTCTTTCTTCTGTTGAACACAAAATTATATTTTAAAGAATTTTGGTAACCAGAGAGTTGACGGCACCCATTGACTTCCATAGTAGGGAAAACAATTCTATGGAAGTCAACTCTGATTAACAACATTCTTCAAAATATCTTCTTTTGTATTCAACAGAAGAAAGAAACTCGTACAGATTTGTAACAACATGAGGGTGAGTAACTTATAGGCCTAAATGATGTGTAACTATCCCTTTAATTAAAAAACGGATGGATGGACTTACTTTGAACTGGTCCTGGAATTTCTTTCGCCAGATCTGTGGTATGTAAAACAAACATTTGTTAAAGGGAACAGATTAATAGAGAAATGGACATTTAAATGGAATTAAAGCCAATTCATATTTCCTGTCACGGTACTTCTTTTCGTTCCTCTTTAGCGCCTCAAGTGGCTGAATTAATGTTAAACACTTCAGGTGCTTAGTTTCTAGAACTGATTGCACGGCTGAAGAAAACGACACATCTTTGATCTTGTAAGTTCAAATCTGTTGTGAACCTGGCTGTATGGATTTTGTGTGTAATTTGTATGTGAATATGAACCAACAACAAGGTTTAAAAGAAAAATCGAAAGTATTATTTTCTCACTACGGGCACAAACGTTTTGTTCCAATAAGCCCCGTGGGACGCGACATCGTGTATGCGTCTGCTTTTAGTGATAATGACGTTGTGTTTTAGCATTGAAAACAGCTGGACAGTGTGGCAGAGATGTCGAGGGCATATAAGGCGGCAGGCAGCGAGTCTGGGAGGATTTCAGCTCCACGATGGGAAGAACCTCAAGGTTAAACTGCAGAGCAGACACGACATAATTGCGCACGAACACACAATGACACATCTGTTTGCATTCATTTACAATTGCCTTCATTTTTACCTGTTAAATAGATTTCTGTAACCCTGACAAACTGCTGTTGTGCCCCTATGACCCACATCATCTGATCCGGGCCTGCCGGTTCCCCTACCACCTCATCAAATGCAGGAAGGTGTGTGTGCTGTGCAGAAACCTCCACAATCATTACAGTACAGCCAAATTCTTATTTATGTATTGATGTAAAGCAATAAGCTTTCATTAGGCCATTTTAGGCGTAGGTTTGCTGTGTGTTTTTGTAATCCATTCCGTATAGTTTTAATTTTTAACATGGGTAAGAAATTTAAGTTTAATAGTTAAGTTAATTGAGTAGATTAATAAAAATCTAATGACAAGTATGATGTCAATGTAGCCTATAACCCTACCTGGTATTGTTTAGTTCTTGCATCCGTTTAACACTGCTAACTCAACTACGGTAGCAAACATCCAAGGGGGTCACAAGATGAATTTAAATTTAAAGGTTTTTTTTTTTAACGTAACAAAGTGCTAAAAAATGCTAATAGTTCAGATGTAGGCCCACAAAATATAAATTGTCTACTTGTATGAAAATTAATGAGGAAATCTGTAGCATTCAATGACACAGATTAGACAGACGATGGATTACTACCAAAATGTTCTGTACTTTTAGTTTATATTTAACAGTATGTGGTTGCAATGCAAGCACTGATAATGCAAATCTAGTTGCTGATGTTAAATCAATAACTGATAGTTTAAATTTGGCATGAAATGAAAATTCCCCCTGCCTATTTTATTAATTCAATTATTGATCTTGTGAACAATTTGAATTCACCTATGCTAATGTTTTTGCATTTAGTCTGGTTAAACCCTGCCCCTTTTTACAAACGACTGCAAGCTTGCATTCAGATCTGCCTCTACCTGATCAATAACTGATGGAAAGAACCACGTTTCTGTCCTATTTTTATTCTTTTTCAAAAATCTGTTTTAGTCAAATGCGCATCACAATATAAAAGAAAAGATCCGTCACTACCTCTGTTTCATCGTGATGTTAAAACAAAAAGTATTGAGTGCTGATAGATGTCTGTGATCTTAATATTATTTGTAGAATCACCCTGAATTGATCAGTGAATTATGGACATGTCCATTCAATGCACGCCACTTGATGAGAAAAGATGAGCTGTCACATCACATCCTAACCTGTGTGGACCGATGTGCTGTTAGGGAGACCTACGGTAAGATCAGTTTTACCTTTTCACCTTCATAATATTTGACTACTGCAGACACTCCATGCATAATTAATCTGACATTCAGTTGTGCACTGAACTGATCTCAGTCTCCTTTGCAATGTTAAAAGTGGCAAGTGAGAAGACTGATAGCAAGTTTCAAACCCCAGTGAGCACCTGGACTGCACCCGTGTGTGATGAAGACTGGGATGAAGGTACGACTCTGACCCATATCCGGAGTTAAAGTCACTATGAAATCAACATTTACACTACTTATTTTTTAATGGAATATTGCAGTATTTATTATAATTGATTTATCCGTGCACATCCTTTTTTTTAATTCACATGCCCTCGTAATCTTTAATCAAAACAACTTAAGAAAACACCCTCCCTCTTGCAACAACATCTCTATTGACATGTTTTTCGGCAGGATGGGACGACAACCTGACTCTCACATTACATCACAGCAATAACAAACCACAACGATCCAAACTCTTTGATAGTACAAAATGTGCAAAGATTTGTTTGTATGGTGTATAAACTTTAACATCTGATCATGTCTGCGTCTTACAGAAGTGGACAAGCATGCAACCGCAGCGCCATCTTTTGTCAGGGATGTGTCCAAATCGCTTCCTCAGGACAGGTCAGTGTAGAGCAGGGGTTCTCAAATCATTATCTGGCCCTCGTGAGCCACTTTCCTGCAGAGTTTAGTTCCAACCTTGATCAAAGTCACCTGCCTATAACTGTATGTAAATATGCCTGTTTCTAGTAATCCTGAAGACCAGGGTTGTGACTGAATTCACCCCCTATACCCTCATTCACTATTCCTTACATTAGTCCACTAATATAGTTCACTTGAGGGAGTGAATGAGAATTCGGCAAATTCGGACGCTGTGTGCGCCAGAAGGGCTGCTGCTTTTGCATAGACACACATCACGATGATAATGAACATGTACAATAATGTTATTGTGGGCACTTCAAAATACCGTGAATAATTATGTATTACGAATTACTCCATTTTAAGAATACTTTTCCCATCAACTGGGTAAAATGCACCACACAGCTGTATGCTCCATCTAAGAGGCATATGCGCAAAAAAGCCCAACATGGATGAGAAGCAATGTTTCAAACAGCCATTCAGATTTTTGTATTCGCAATGATGTTCATCGCAGCACCAAATACTTAAAGGGGTCGTATAATGCCATTTTTGTACAAGCTAGTATGATTCTTTAGGGTCTAAATTAAAAGTTTGTAATATACTTTAATTACAAATTCTCATTAGTATTGTATGAAAACACTTATTTTACCTGGTCAAAAACAGCTCTGTTTTCAGCACGCCGTTTCAGTGCATATGACTTTAAATGATCATGAGCTTTGCTCACCCCGCCCCTCTGTTCTGTGTGTACACCGTTTGTAACACAATAACACAATAACCATAATGCGTTGTTCAGTATAACCGTGGGATTATGAATTATATTGAGAACATCATACATAGAAAACATGCCGTAATGTACCCTAAGTGTAAACCTTAGACGCATTCATCGTGAAGCGTGCAGCTAGCGATTTGCAAAGATTAATATAAATACCGGTATTAATATAAAGTTTAATAAAACGTTACACTCACTTCAGTTGTTCTAGAGGTTCAGCAGGAACACGAATATCTGGTACCGATCCTTTTTTCATGAGCAGCTTCTTAGCAAAACCAGCTCATACTGACCCTCGTTTATAAAGCAGTCTGGTGTGTGAAATGATTCGCGCAAACATGAAAGTATTGACGTTGCTCGTGGGGAATATTCCCTTCGAAAACAAACTCAGCCACTGCGTCTTCAGCGGTTCGGATTTAGGAACATTAAAATGACTTCTGTGTTCGTTATTACACCCAAGAACAGAACACCACAATCGCTTAGACGCCATACTGCTCATAGACAGTGCTCCAGCATATCAACAATGACCGCGCCGGTCCACGCAGACTATGATTGACAGCTCTCACGAGCGAGGGCGGGTCTGTGTTGAAACAATGCTGTCAATCAACAATAGTGGGAGGGGCTTCCGAGCGTGTGACGTCACAAAATCGAATGGCTCAATTTGAGGCAGGGGAAAACATATTAGATTAAAACAAAAACACTGGATGGATTTTTATCATTATATGATGGTTGTGTACAGGCACTGCCAACACACATTTCAGTACAATCAACTTGTAAAAGTGTATGTACCATTATATGACCCCTTTAAAAACTTAATGGGCTATTTATTTTCAAATTTAAACATTTTTACATTTTTAATCTGGATTAGGCTACAACATGCCCTAGGTATTGATCGAAAATGTTCTGATTCCTTATTATTCTTCGGTAACACTTTACAATAAGGTTAACATCAGTTAATTAATTAGTTAACATAAACTGACAAGGAAAAAAAACCCTTCTAAAGCATTTATTAATCTTAATTTCAACATTTAATTACACATTATTAAAATCAAAGTGACTTTTTTAACGGACATGAGCTACTGTAACATGTCTGAACTAACAATGTTTTTATTTTTATTAACTAACGTTAACAAAGAACAATAACTTCTGTTACAAATTTAGCTATTGCTCATTGTTAATGTTAGGTAATGCATTAACTAACTTGAGACTTTAATCTGTTCGAAACATTTGTTTGCTTTATAATTCTTTTGTTTTTAAATGTTCAGAGTTCTTTTTGTTCTAAGAAAAAAAAGTTATTAAACCTTGTTAAAGTATGACAACACTTATTTCAATATTGTGATAATACCGTATACCATGATAAAAGCTTCAGCAATTATCGCAACATGAAAATTGTATACCGTCACATGCCTACTTTTGCATAGTTTGTGCTTGCTGTTTAATAATTATTTCAAACTTAGCAAACTGGTAGCTCCAGCAGTAAGATATGTCATGGAAACTAGCATGTATAAACCTTAATTAAACAATTTAATAATCAATTAAAAGGGAATTTATACCTGTATAATATTATGCTATAGCCACATTAGACCAGCGGTTTGGAAAATGGATGGATGAATGGATGGATGGATGATTCAGTTGCGAGTACCATCTTCTGGCGAGACATGAGTCATTCATTTGGCTTTATGCGTGACCGTCACAGTGCATTATGGGTATTCTCTAGCCGTTGAGCATACATAGGTTGTACACTCGTTATTGCGGTGCGTTGTGGGATTGAATGAGTGCACTTGATAACGTCCACTATGGTTTCGGACATCACTACAAATGGCTGTCCCCTCCAATAGTGCCCTATTTAAGGGTATAGATTGATTTCGGACAAGGCTCTTGATTAGCTTTTTCAGGTGTGTTTGGAGGGTTGGAGCAAAACTGCAGGAAAGTGGAACTCGAGTTCCAGAGATGAGAACCCCTGATGTAGAGCTAACAACGTTACTGAGGCTGTGTCTCATTTTGAAGGCTGCGTCCTCCGGAGGTCGCATTTGCCATAGGACCGTTGTTCCTTGTGAAGCATAAATAGTTGTAATTTCTTTATGACTTTGTATGTAATGATTTCTTTACTGAAATGAGGCAGCTTCAATGACATATTTGGCCGACACATGCAACCTCCAGTGAGCAGCTTGAATCATATGCCAGTGGTTCCCAACCCTGGTCAGATAAGATAAGAGATACGTTAAAAATGTGCAGTGTTGGGGTTACTCCAGGACCAGGGTTGGGAACCACTGTGTTATACCATAGCATTTAGACTTCTAGATAATGTAGTCGGTAATAGACCATCATTTGATCAGATTGGTTAAATATTACAGCAAAACAACGGAATCATGAACTGCTCATCTCTCTTTATATTAGGGAGAACAACTGCATTTCCAGAAATGCGATTTCTGGTCTCAGGGCGCCACGAATTCTTCCCTGGACGAGCAGCTGTACTGATTTTTGAGCTTTTTAATACATCCACAATGCCAAGACTACTATTTTTCATTCACAATGAATACTGATAGTGTTGGTTGCTTGTTTTGGCATTTTATTGTATAGGTCACTAGTTCTTGTAGTGATAAATTAGTTTCCTAATCTTTAGTTCAGTTTCCCAAAGGTGGAACAATAGAGGTGGTTTAGGTTCTGTTTACACCACACAAAAGAAAAGCTTACGACCAGGATATTTATAAGACTTCAGTTGACGTGTTTTGTGTTGTCATAGTTGCTTTGTGCCTGTAATTCTACCTCTGTGGTCTCTTAGGAATGACATCCTTTTTTTTCCTTGACAAATGCTTATCAGAGAGCAGATACTGTGGTAAAAGCAAATAAAACTTAATTTATAAATGTTAAGATTCAAATACCTGTGAGCCTTACCAAGTTTGTAGTTTGTGCCAACATCACTCTGGCATATTTTCTTCAATAAAGAAATAGTCTCCTCTTTAATTTTGTCCTGATCCAAGGTAATAATTTGTCTGTCCTCGTCTTTCAAGAATATGTCAGATGATCTATGATGGAAGCAGACGATGAAGTTATCGTGAGCTTAACTGTGACGTTTTAGATATTCTACTGTAAGTAACTGCAACTTCATGTCAACTAACTCTCATTAGAGTATTAGGAGACTGTTCGGGTTCAGGTTAGTAGAATAAGTTGACGTAGTTGCAAAGTAACTTCGTCAGAAGAATGTCTCATCAAAGGTGTTAGCATATATAATGCAGCTATAATGAGTGTTAGTTGACATTGTAGTTGCAAAATAAAGTGTTCCCAAACTGCGAAGTCAGACTTCTTAAAATATTCATAAAATCACACAAGCACTTACTCACAAAATGAACCGGTTGCTTTGACCAGGTTGCTTTTGACAAGTCCAATATCCCCAGTTTTCTCAGATTTTCCCATAAACCATTCAAAACAGGCCACCAGCAGGCCCAGGATGATGATGCGTTCACCAGCCTGGAAACTCAGTTCATCTGGCCCGTCCGCCTCGTACTCCTCTGTGGTCTCACAGACCCCTACTGCTGTGAGAGATATTGTTACAAGTGGGGTAGAGTTAGATAAGTGGACTGGGAAGATGACAATGCTTTGCACTGTTGTGCAAAAATATAATTACTAAAAGAAAATAGCTACAGCTTTAAGTCTCAAAAAATCCCATTGAGTTATATACTGTAAAACCTCAACCGTCTACATATATAGAAATCTCTGAGTAGAGCTTTCCGATTTTTTTATCCTCTATCATTTTCTAATCGTTATTATTTTTACAACTTTAAAGCTTCTTGCTCTACTTTTCTATTCTTATACAATTATGCTATTCGTAATCATCAAGCATTGCAAGTGACACATGTAACGTGCATACGTGTAAGAAATAAGGTTGTGATTTTTTTTTTTGAATTTCAATACTCAATTCAAAGTTGCCAATCTTGTACATCATATGCAATTTAGTTTTTAGTTATCTTTAGTATTCTGTGATAGTTGTTGAAATTAAAACAAATAAAGACTATTATCCTGAAAAATGCATTAAATTGATCAGAAGTGGGAGTAAAGACTTTTACTATACTTGTCTCAAATGAGTGCTGTTCTTTTCAACTTTATGAGGTTTGATAAACAAGGTTCGGGAGGAGCAGGTGCAGTTAATTAACCCAATCAGCACCAGTGGGGAGCAATCAGTAATCAATCTAGGACAGGATAATATCAGCAGAACCCACACTGGTTCCTTGACAGTTTATCAGCATCCCACCTCCACCCCATCTCCTCTCTTTCAGTTCCATCTCTAGTTCCATCTACTCTTACCACGGGGGAGTACTCTGGGTTCGGGCAGAATTCCGAGCTCGGAGCCCTCCACCCGGACAGCACGCCAAGTACGCACAATCTTTATCATAATAATTATATGTAGATGCGAACTCGTGAACTCTTCATTAAAGAATCTTGAAAACATATCACAATTTCCACAAAAATATTATGCAGTACAACTGTTTTCAACAATAGATAATAAGAAATGTTTCTTAAGCACTAAATCATTTTATCAGAATGATTTCTGAAGGATCATGTGACATTGACGAGTAATGATGCTGAAAAATTAGCGTTGCCATCACTGAAATAAATAACAGTCCACATTGCATTATTTCACAATATGAGTGTTTTTACCGTATTTATGATCGAATAAATGAAGCTTTGATGGCGCGTAAAAGCCTTCTTTCAAAAGCATACCGGTAATGTATACTGTATATACAAAATAAAGTACAATTATTTTAACGTTTTCTCACCAATCTGTAATGGAAGGTCACTAGTGTCCTTTCCACCACCCACTAATACAGTCTCTGGGCAGGACTTTAGAAACCACCTTGGGAAGTAAAGAAAATTAATTGTTCTTAGTTCTGGGTGCTCTGTTGATTTTATGACTATAAGTTCAGATGAAATTCAGAAGGTGACACGTACTCATGAAAGGGTATGACTGGCTCCAAAGCTGTTTTTGGCTTGGTTCCTCTAGACCCATCTGCTAGTGAAAGCACTGTCCACCCTGACCCTAGGAATGGAGGCTCAAACAGGGCGATATCCCCCTTCTCCAAATAAAGGTCGCTACCTGAAGTAGAGCTGTCAAACATCTGATTTGCTGTGCAGCATCCAAAGAAAGACCCTCAAAAGTAAACAACATTTTTATTATAAATAACTTTAATAAGCTTAAATCTCATTCATATTAAGTAGTGTTCATAAGCAATATGTATTACCTTCTTGCATTAGAAAGCCTTTATACATCAGATTTAGTGTCTCCTCTTTAATTGAGATCTCAATTCCTGAATGCTGATCAAGGGAGATTAACCAGAACTCCTGGTCCATGAGAAGGTTTTCCATACACTGACCCAAGAAGCCTGGTGAAAACGTCATATGAGATATTTAGCTTTAATATACACTACTAGTCAAAAGTTCAGAATCACCAAGATGTTTTTGAATGATTTCTGAAGTATCGTGTGACGCTGAGTATCACAGGAATAAATTACATTTTAAAATAGATTTTGAAATAATATTTCAAAATATTACGTTTTCGGTGTATTTTTGATTAAATAAATGCAGCCTTGGTAAACAAGAGATTCTTTCAAGAACATTAAAAAAATCTCAATTCCAAACTTTGGCCTGGTATAGTGTGCCGGACTCCGCTATTCACAAAAAAACAATAACTGCCATTATTAATAAACACAGTATGATACAACATATTTGAGACACTGAAACAAGAACGGACCCATTCTGTGGTATGTGCTGAACTTCCATATTTCTTCAAGGGTTTTAAAAGTGATACATATAGTCCTTTCCCCACTGTTGATGGATACAAAGTGAGCGGACAGTTCCTGCAAGACAGGGAAACCAGTATGTTAAATGTGTGTGTTTAAGGTTTTGAATATTTGATGTATTCCAAATTGGGATTCCCATACAGAGATTAAGGTCATGACCCCTGACAGGTCAGCTTCCAGCACACAGAGTTTCCTGCTGAGCACTTCCTGTGTGCCCTCATCGGCAGGAAGTCCATCTGGCCCCTCCACCAAAGCCAGCTGCATAGCCAACACTGCAACAGGAAACACATGCAACATTATATCTACTGCATCCAGCCTCCACATGGAAAACATTTCAGTCAGCTCTAGTAAATGTGTATGGGAAAAGGATTTAGCTGGTGATGTAAGGAGGGTAGTCAGTTAATATAAGGTGACATAAACCAATCTGGCCTTTATACTGCTGTAAATTCCAGATGTAGTTCTACTATAGTCAGTTATAATAATAATAATAAAAAACATTCATTTCTAGAGCAATATGCATGGTTCAATCCACAGTTTAGATTTCGAATTTGACCATAGTCATGTGATGTTTCACTGCTGTGTTTAACAGAGAGGGTTAATAAGTGACAGTCAATGGGCTTTGTAAAGTCCAATGATCTCTAAAAGTTACTTTTTTTTTTTTTGGAGTGTCACCAGAGCAGGTCAGAGTTCAATTAAATGGATAGATCACCAAACAATTAAAATTCTGTCATCATTTACCCACCCTTTTCTTCTGTGAAACAAAGTTATTTTGAGGAATGTCTCCGGCTGCAATCGAAATCGCATACTGTATTTCCCTACTAGCAGGTGAAAAACTGTATATGAAAGAGTATGTCTATTCCTGTCACATAACACTTCAGTAGCTATGTTGCCATCCACCTATTTTTTTGGGATATCATATAAAAACGCTGGATGGAAACGCAGAGATTCATGCAAATGCATAAATTCTACAAATGTGCACAAATAAAATGTGCTATACAAATAAACTAAACTAGTATCTTAATTGATATTATTGTGTTTTTATTATATAAGGTAAATGGAGGTCTTTTACACAATAAACAAGAATTATTCCCACCCGCCATAGTGCATTAAATGAGTTTTAAAAATAACCCCATTTTGTATATGGAGAGCTGGAGTTACCTGTTGGTATATTATCATCAGAAGCTCCTGAAGTTCCTTTGACACTTCCTCTTGAGGTCTTATAATCTGAAAAGGAATTTGCACACTCCCTTAATCTTGACCCTTACAATGATGTGGATCATTTCTGTTCCTTATTCACTATAAGGGTCTTAAGGAATTTTTTTTATAGGCCTACATCCGACTTTCAGAAATACTATGGTGAAGTCTACATTTAAACTTTATTAATTATTACCTAATTATACAGGAAACTATCAGGATGGAAATAAATAACCAATGTTAGCCATGGGTTATTAACATGGAGGTAACATGCATGACAACTAATTATGCTATTTGATGTTTTATTAGCCTACCACAAAACATCACAGAATCTATAAAGTAATTGGGTAATTTTGTGTTTGTGCTGTTGCTTTCCCAACAAAAATGTGATGTCACTTCCTGGATTAGTTACAGGTAGCCAATTTTACAAAAGGATGGAACGTGAAATGAAGGACACAGACAAGGATGATGATTAGCCTACTAATTAAAACAATATTCATGAGAT